CCCCAAAACCCCAAAACCCCAAAACCCCATTGTGAAAAAATATTGTAATATGATGAAAAATATAACTTGATAATAATAAAGTCGATTTAATAAATAATTATTTTGCGAATCGATTGTTAATGTCAAGAGAGGCTATTAAAAGTGCAAGTAACCAATCAAAATGTAAATTAAATCCTAATCCATTAAATTAAAAGTAGTTTCCATATCTAAATACATTAAACAAAAAACTCAAATCAGATACCCTGCAATGCAAACACAAACACCTATGAGAACAAGAAAGGAAATCAAGCAATTCGGAGAAAGAAATCTCTCAAATGCTGTTAATAATGATATACTCAACATCACAACTCATGACATTCCTCACAATATAAATGTATTAAATAATCAAAGTATCCAGTAATAATCAAATGGCGCGCTTAACCATTAAGTCAGTGTTAACAGCGCATTCAACTCAATTAATCACAATAATACCAACTCAAATAACTCAAACTATATGAATGGCACTCAAAACAATAGAAATGAAAATTTCATTCCCAAGAAATCTCTAAGCCCTTCATCAATGAATCCTCAAAACTCTACAATGCCTAAAGGGTTGGCCTAAAAGTAATATAAAATAAAATAAAAAAGCATATAGATAATACTTGAGTCAATTTTAGACTCATCAAGTTGGAAACAATGGAAGTTATTCTGGTCGAGCAAAGTAAAAGAATAAGGTAAGACTCAAAATTTTGAATGAAATGTATTAGATTAAAGTTATCAAAGTAGAAATCAAAACTGAAAGTACAGATCATAGCACCAATTAAACAAATCTAGGTTCTACAAGATCCAATGTCAATCAGTCTTATTATATAAATGCTAAAAGGCAAAAAGAAAGAAAGAGGGAAAAAAGCATTGATAATACAGAGCAGATATTAACTCAGTATATATATAAAAATCAATGTCATGGCTCAGGTCTAAAGTAATACAGTCAGAATTCATAAAACGTAAACACACTGACAGCATTCAATACTCCTTAGAGGTAGCTTCACAATCATAAATAGTCTTTAGATGACAAGCCAATTTAAGAAGGTATACTTTATTAAGTTATGATTATATACATAATTTTAGAGCATTTTAAGAATATGAATTCTATTGGACCAGTGACATAAACTTTGGTTGAATGCTTAAATAGAATATCTGTAAGAAATAGATCCAGTACGAATGAAAAGGGTGTAAGAAGTTAGGAGAGACCACATAATCCTATTGGATCTCCTCAGCACTAGCATCATCATCATCACCACCCTTTGTCCTTTTCCATTGACCTTACTCATAACTGTAAGAATTTACTCAAATAGCCTAATGATAGTTATTTTAGAAAGCCCACCAAATAATCAAAAGCCCCAATAAAATTTAGGTTTCTAGTAAAAGTCGCCAACTAATAATTTCATACCTTTATCTTAGAGAGATAACTTATAATCCATAAACTATCATACGTTTTTATCATAAAACAGAATGTCACATAATTTCTCAACAATAGATGAACTATCTAAGAAATTTGAATTTCAACCATCTATGAAGCCCTTATAGTAAAATAACAACACTTTAAACGGATAAATTCACCAGATCAATCCATTTTAGATTTAAAGTAATCCTAGTGTAGAAAGTTTATCAGATTAGAAATATCAATTAAAACTAGTAGAAGGAAATAATTCCTTGCATCTTAATTTACCTTAAAACGTGCCTAATTCTTTTAATATAACAAGTCCAAGCAATTACTATAGAGGTCTAACAGATGCAGAAAGAGATATTTGGGACGAGATGAAAAGAACCAGAGATTTTACATATTATGGTAAGAATGTGACTTTAGATCATAAACTTACTGTATCTTAAAAAATTGCCTTTCAGCTCGAGGAACAGCTTTAACTTGCATATGTTGAAAACAGAAAATTATCAGTAAGTATTTGTGATGTATTGATCAATTAACTAGAAAGAATTAGAGGAAAGAAGGTATGAAATTAATCATCTTGAGGATAAAGTCTATGTACTTACTAAGAAAATAGAACACAAAGATTAAGCAATAGAATCTCTATCATTCAAATTAGACAATGATCATTCAATGATTGAGGACAGGCTTTAAAATGCTATAAGCGCAAAGCAAAAAGATATAGATATGCTAAATGAAAGACTTAGAAAATACCAAAAGCATAATGACGAAATGGAAAAGGAAGTAGAGAGATTGAATTAGATGAGACTTGATTGGGAGTCAGAAATAAACGATCTATTTCGTGAAAAAGAAATATTGAAAAGACAATTAAATGAGGCAGGAAGCAGGTTAGAAGATGCAATGAGTTAGCAAGTTGAATACAAGCAGATTATCAGACATATGAGTACAATAGCCTAGAGTGATAAAGCCCATAGCCTTCAAAATAAATCTCTTAAGACTGAGTCCACTTATAAGAACAGATCTAAGACAATGAAGAATTCTAAGGACGAGGAATTATAAGAGAATATCTTTGATCATTTAGAGGAGATCATTCCTAATGAAGTCAAACTTGCTCAAGAAAATTAAGCCTTAAAGAATAAGTTAGAAATGCTCAAAGATTTAGTGCTGAATGATATGACTCATAAAACTTTGAAAAGAGAAGCATCAGAAATTCATGATATCTTGAAATCTCTACTGGAAGCTGTCTATTAGCAAAGGGGACTCATTGTAAAAAGCTCTTACACATAGAATAAATTTGATATGGAATTCATCAAGGATTTAGCTGATCTTGAGTCAGAAGTCATAACTATTAGAGACCTTCAAAAAATAAAAAGAAGACTCTTAGAACTTTAGTCTATTGTAATTATACCCAAAGATTAATAAAACTAAAAGTTACTTGAAGATCCAGAAGCCCAAATTCTTGAGACTAAAGTAAACAAAAGACACAGTGTAAAACAAACAAAGAAACCAAGTATTAAAAATTTTAGCTAGCTTAAATAATGAAATTTAATTTAACAAGTAAATATTTAAATTTCTCGAATTTTTTATTATTGAGAACTACGGGGTTTTGGGGTTTTGGGG